TATATATATATATATATATATATATATATATATATATATATATATATTTCAATTTACATTATAGTATCTACAACATTATATAATATATCTTTACATATGTATATTGTGCTTCAATAAAAATGAAGGCATCTATCTTGCTCAACACGTTATGCTTAGATTCAGCGTATTTTTAGTTCGCTGAAAAACATGGCGACCGGGTAAACATGTTGCGACGCTGAATGCGTTTAGTACCGCTCAGCAGAAAATCATAAAACAGTTGTGCAAGGGTGTATATCAGTTGGACACGGGGCAATTGGACACAGTCCAATCACAAGTCGCTGTTCCAAGGGACCCTACAAATGTCTCTAATCACACGGTGCTGTGATTGGCTGTGTCCAAATGCACCGTGTCCAAGTGCACCGCTCCCGTTGTGCAACCCTTGTGTTCTGTTGAACGCAGCCAATGACTGACGGCTAATGGTTGGATTAGGTTAGTTTTTAGGGGGGTGCAGGCAGCGCAGCCCCCCGCTTATTGTTCGATATTTTTTTCGAGTTGCAATTGTTAAAAATGTTAAAAATATACTTTACTAGAAAGTGCAGTATTTACTAGTACAGAAAAAACAACTCTATGAACAGACTTTACGTTGCAATGACAGGTTTTCTAACCTATCATAGCTAGCAATTAATTTATTGGTTTGTAGAGCCGAACGATACATTCTATCAATACAATACGTTTTGTTGATGAGTATTATACCAGCTTAATATACCGTTGTTTATATATATCGTCGATATTAAGATTATCTAATAGAAAGTTACTATTTAGTACGCGTATCAAGTGCACGATATAAACCAAGCCAATGCGTGTGCGCGAATAAATCTGAATTCGCAACATTGCCCTAACTTATGCAACTTATTCATACCGCGTCCGATGTCCGACGTATGATGTCCGATATCCAATAAAAAAATAGCTTTCCAATGGAGAATTGAATTCTATATTAGAAAGCTGTTCTTCTATTGGATAGCGAACGTCGTACATCGGACATTAGACACGGTGTAAATCCTGCATTATGTTTGATACTTATAGCGAATTCGGTAGCTTGCACTAGTGCGCACTGAGTGCGCATTAAGGCTTGTTTACAGTACATTCTTATATTTAAGATCGTGTCTTAAATACATATTTAAAAACATTTTAACTAATAAAATGATTCGTACGGATGTTATACATATCATATTATGGTTAAAAATATTTGAGAATTTATTTGAGAATTATTTAAGACAATTTTTAAATATAATAACATACTATGAACAAGCCTTAGTGCGCACTCAGTGCACACTAGTGCAAGCAACCGAATTCGCTATCAGATAGGTAATCGGATTGTAGTTGAGTGGTGTTGGGGGTACGCCTTTTGGTTGCCTGAAGTCATATTGAGAGAGAGAGAGTAATCGGATTGTGTCTCTATAACAAAACGTTACACGTTACAATTGTTAAAAAAGAAAGAGAATCTTTATCCGGTATACAACATGGCACAACAGTAAAACCGACATTGAACGGAGAGCATTCACACAAGGTATTAAATCATGGGTAACTGAAATCGAATGGTACACTGAAAATTTGAGGTTAGATTCTATCAAGGGAAAATATCGTGGACTGTACAACACTATCATCTCAGATAGCGAAACCTACATACATAGGCAGATTTTGCGCAGCGTTTGTCGTAAATTTTGTCGGCAGTAACCTAACAAAAATATAATAAGATCTGATGACAACAGAATATGATGACAGATTGACGATAGAAACCAAGCAAGATTTGCTGTTTCGTAACCATTTAAATGTATTTAAATAAAGTATACTGCGAGTCATGCTCGATTTCTACCGCCACTCTGTTGTCAAGTTATGCCAACAGGTTCTGTTGACAGAACATGAGCTTAATGTGGACACAGCTGGCTATGGACTTGGCATAGCATTCTGATCAAGTCTGCTGGCAATCTGCAGGCATACTTTTTTAAATCAGTAAGTACTAACAGTAATGTTACATCAAAGTTATAATTTCTCACTTAACTCATTGTTATATATAACATATTACATCTACATTATTGAGTGAGAAATTGTAACATTGATATAATGTTACTATTATTTGTTTACCGAATAACATCTTATTTATTGGAATATTGCCAACCATCAAAGTATCTAGATTTCCAAGCAAATCTTAATGAGAAAATTGACAAAAATTTAAATAAACTTTTAACATATCCTTGAAAACTTCAATAAATATATAACTAAAATGTGTTAGCTAAAATAAAATTAAAATGACTATTACTGAATATCATAAATCAAGATAATATTGAATCTAATATGTTCAATCTAAGAAACGAGTTAATTCTTTATTTTATGAATTATATTTCACTCCAATATTTTTTTAAATATTTTTCTGTGTTCTTTTAAATTATTACAAATTGTGTTCTCTTAAACTATTACAAGTGAAAGATATAAGATTGAAAATAAAACAAGTATTTAGGTAACCCTTCCCCTAGTACTGTTGCGGTAGCACTGTGCAACTACTATAAAAATACAATATGCAAAATAATAGGATAAAGAAAGAACAAAAATTATACTAATTTAAACTTCAAGCTTAGAATCAAAGTTGGGTGTTTACATATTACTTATGATATTCTACAAGCAATAAAGACACAAGAACGAAGTAGCATTGGTATTGTCCTCCCCAAACTTTCTATGTATAAGATGTATGACACATATAAATATGTATAAATAATATCTTGTAGACAATGCATATATGTGGATAGTCATTTAAATAACAGTTACAGTGTCATAATGGTTACAGTGCAAAACTACATATGATTGGTTATGGCATACCAAGATTTTCAATTAGATAAAAATTATTAATGAGTTTATGATTAGTAAAAAGATCAGTTTTAAAATAATATATTAAAAGAATAAGTCTAAATTGTAATGTACTCTAAAACAATGATAACACATCATACATAGGCAATTTTTGGCGATTGTTTTGTATATGTACCTGGTTGTCATTGGTCTAATTTATATCAAACATTTAATATATGTACTAAATATCTGTACTGTATAAATGTCCAAAACACATTGTAGAGAAATATTTTGATATCTCTGAAAAATATTTTGGATATTTATGCTGTATGAATATTTAGTATTATATATTAAATGTTTGATGTAAACTTGCCCAATAACAACCTGGTACATGTATCAAACGGTCGCCAAAAATTGCCTCATATAATCTACACAACATATATAAGTAAGACTGTAAATAAAAGACTAAAGATTCAATTGTTCCAATGCAATTGTCAAAAATAAAATTTTTTTTATTCTGTATGCGTTGTGCTATGTTATAAAAAGATAATTACATCATAAAAAAACTATAATGATAAAGTAAATACAAAAAATCTGCATGAAGACAACATACGCAAAACAACAGAAGAAAGTTGTATAAAAATCTAAGAAACTCTAAACACACACACACACATATCTGTGTATGTATGTGTAACAAAATATAGTTCAAAAGAATATCCAGCTTTTAGGAAGAATTACAAGAGATAAGGTAAATTGAATCTTTATATAGTATGAGTTATACAATTAAAAAGATTAAAAAGATTCAGATAGATTTGAAATCATTATGACTATTAAAAGACCTAGAGAGAAATGTAGCTAAAATTGTTAAGTATATTAGATGTGTTTAATTTTTAAAAAAATTAAAAACTGATATTATAATAAAACTACAATGAAATAAAAACTTAACAAAAGTACTGCAATGTTTCAAAGAATATTGTATTCTCAGAATACAATCTTCAGAAAGAATGTATAATATATGAATCACTCAAATTTCGTAATAAAATATGCGCGCAATAAAAAAAGCGTGAGAAACTCGAAAGCTTTTTAACAGAGATTTAAAAACTAGTCAAATGTGAATTTGGAACAATGACTGATAAGATAATCAGAAACAGATTTATATTAGGAATAAGAGACAAGACTCTGCAGGAGGGACTGTTGTGTGTGTTGTGTATGTGTGTGTTTGTGAGAAGTGAATATTTGAATTTACAAAAAAAACGATAAAGCTTCTACAGAGTTGATAAAATATCTAAGCCCCATACAAAAAATCTGCATGAAGACAACATACGCAAAAGTAAACAACAGAAGAAAGTTGTATAAAAATCTAAGAAACTCTAAACACACACACACACATCTGTATATGTATGTGTAACAAAATATAGTTCAAAAGAATATCCAGCTTTTAGGAAGAATTACAAGAGATGAGGTAAATTGAATCTTTATATAGTATGAGTTATACAATTAAAAAGATTAAAAAGATTCAGAGAGATTTGAAATCATTATGACTATTAAAAGACCTAGAGAGAAATGTAGCTAAAATTGTTAAGTATATTAGGTGTGTTTAATTTTTTACAGAATTCTTGATGTCATATTTAGTGGTTATGAGTGTGTAAAAAATGTTTAAATGAAATCAAACAGCAAATCAAGAATGTTGATAAATTTCTATAAAAATAAAGAGGTTATAATTTATAAATAGATACATTATAGTGTTATTTAAATTGTTGTTTATTACAAATTGGAAAGTCACTTCATGTTTCAAGAAGTCTTACAGAGAATAAGAAAAGTTTAGCTCAAATTGAGAAAGAATCATTAAGTGTAATCTTTTTAATATGTAAATTTTATTATTATACGGTTTATATGGTAAGGAAATTGATGTAATTGTAGATTATAAATTAATTAACATAATCAATAAAAGATTTGCTGATACCAACCAGTTATTTACAAAGAATTAGAATTAAATACTCAAATATTTTAAATAAAAATATCTTATACTTCAGGTAAATTAATATTGCAGATCCACTGTCAAGATTTTTTCTTGAAGTAATAAATGTAAATAATACATATGTGTGTGTAACTAACAGAAATAGTACATTCAATTGAAAAAAGTCATAGTATCTAATAAGTAATAAAAAAAACAAATTAAAAAGCTACTAATAAAGATTTAGTGTTAGCTAAATTAAAATGTTATCTTAACTACAATTTTATTTTAATTATCTATGTATGAAAAATATGTCAAAGATCTAGTTCAATTTTATTTTAATTTTTGCAAGATCACATTACTGTAGAGGATAATTTGGTATTTTTTAACTTTAAATTGATAGTACCAGTAAATTTTTGTAAATATATATCACAAATATTACATAAATCTTATTTTGGCATAAAAAACAAGAACGATATAATTAGCCTAGAATGAACAAAGACATAGAAAATATGATATCAAGAGTGCAGTTTTTGAAAGATACAGTAATTTAAACAATAAAGATCCATTGATATTGCATGATAAATATTTCTTTTAATAAATTGGTTTTTAATAAAATAGTTTAATAAAGTCGCATAATAACGGACATTATTTATTGATAAAAGATAATCTACCCAATAAGCAAAATGTTAGCAGTATGTTGACAGATTGGTGACACATTCAATCAAAATATCGTGGCAGATCCATAAACATTTGTGTCCGCAAGTTCGTCTCCTATCGATAGAGCCTGCTGATACAGCTTAACAGCAGTTTGACGGTAGAAACCGAGCAAGTTCTGCAATATATGTATTATTGTATTTAAATATATATAAATGGTTACAGAATGACTGATTTTGCTCGATTTCTGCTGTTAATCTGTCATTACACTTCATTAGCAGATCCCATTGTATATCTGTTGGCAAACTGCTGATAAAATTTATAACAGACATTGCGCAAAATCTATTTCTGCAGGTTTGGCTATTTGGGTACTTATAAATACTTTTTGAGTGTCCTGCGCAGAATTGCCGAGTATTCATCTGTATCATGTTTGTAAAGCTTTATTATTTCTGTTAAAGTACTAGCTTTCATTCGTTATTTATTTCTAAATTCATGTTACAAAGAATATATTTGTTGTTGCTAATTAAACAAAGACGAATAAGATATATTTGCATGACGTGGTTGTATCACAAATCGACGACACTAGACTATTATGAATGTTTCAATTCGAACATTTGTCATGTCTGTGAGTCGATAAATAATGGAAATTTGATATTATGTGATCGGTGCATCTTTTACAGCAATTAGGAACTTCTGCATAATTTACAACGCAGTCAGATATGCACAGCTTAAACACTCTCAAACAGTGGATGCGGTATGAGATATTCGTCGTCAAAGCTTGGACGGATAGGCACAAACAAGAAAAGAATTTGTGCTGTCAATTAGTGTGGCGGTGTCACGTGAACTAAAGTCATACAGAGAAAGCATATGATCATGCTGCAAAACATCGCATTTGCTATTAATCGGCTATTTTGCACATCTGCACAATGTGTTATTCCTACCTAACAGTTATTGTTGTTGTCGTGATTATTTTAATGAGACAATAACTGTAACTGTTATGCAGGAATTTTTAAAAACCATCATAGTTACAAGAAGTTGCTGTCATGTTTCAATTTAGATGACAAAATGCTATGTAAGTATTATTGCAAAAAAATGCATTGCTGTATTATCAACCCAGATAGCACAGAGAATTTATAAAGAATTCAGTCCTATGTTAGCAATTCTGAGTTTTGGTGCAAAAAGAATTCTTTTTGCTGAACTGAACTCTATAGAATTCTTTTTGCATCTGAAAATGAACTCAGAATTGGTGACATACAACTAAATTCTTTTTAAATTTATTTTGAATTCTCTATGCCAGCTGGGGACACTTTTAATGTATTTTGTAACAATAATTAGCAAAATTATTAAAATTCTTTATTTGAATAATATTTTCGTTAAACTAATATCTTTTTTGTCTGAAGAAAGCAACAACGAATCAATTAAATGATAATTTTAGTCTTCAGATTTTAGTCTTCTTTAATTTTGTTTTAATTATTTTTTATCAATATTGTTTTAATATTTTTTTTCCAGATGTCCTACCTCAAGGACCAGTTTTTTAAACTGTTCGTTTAATAATAATACAATTATTATTATTATAACATATAAGGATTTTTATATATTTAGCGCATTATTTTTAAGGTATTTTTGTAAGGTACTTTTTGTAAGGTATTTTGTTAGATGCACGTATTTCACATATTGACGAATACGTCCAAAATTGTATAATGCTGCTTATTAAAATATCCAATTAATCAGATTGATAACATTAGCTTAAAAGTATGGAATTTTCTTTTCTGTTATTAGCATATTTTGTTTTATGCAGGCACAGTTGGATGTGCAAAAAACATTTGTTTAGAAATTTTATGTGTATTTGATCGTCATATTTTACTTCGTAACGAATATTCATAGTTCGTTATATCTTCATAAACAATTTAGTTTGTAGGAAAATCCCAAGACGAGCGGAAAAAATTATAAATACCTTCAGTGTTCTTGAAACATATAAATATATATCATCAAGTATATGTTTAAAATGTATATAGAGAATGTTGCCACTTTTGCTAAGGAATCGTGTTGTACATGTCAAATCTAAATTGATATTACAAATAACATATTTATCATTATCTATTGCATACAAATATGGAACTGGGTGACTCTGTTTATCAACTGGTTGCATTCAGTGAAGAAAAATTAACACCTGATCGTTATAATAAGTTTTTCAATCCGAATATCTGCCATGTTTGCAAGTTAACGTATAATGAAAATTTCATAATATGTGATCAGTGCTTTATGATCTCTTACTGCAGTGGTAAACACAGACTGTTGCACTTAGAACAGCATATGCAGATCTGCACAGTTATAGCGAATTACTTAAAGAAAGATTTGATATGGGAAATTCATCGTTTGAGTCAGGAGGAATGGATACAGTCTAGGAAGGAATTCATAGACATAATCAAGGGGCAATTGTCACGTGATCTAGAACCATACGAGATGCAAATGATCATGTTTGCATCGTCATGTCTTATTTGCCATCAGCAACAAAATCTGCGCACTTGTATGACGTGTTATTCCAGCAACTATTGCGGTGACCATGCAAAAGTCTTTGAAAGTCATCACAGCTCCACTTGCAAGGAGTTGTTGTTATATCTCAACCTAGCTATTAAAGTTCCGCATGGTATTAAATTTGAATCAAAATTTTCCACTTTTCCTGATAGGAATAGACCTATCAAAGATATGGATTCATTTATTCAGCAATATTATCGAAGTCGAAGACAATTGAGGTCTTTGCTAGCGATAGATTACTTTTATACTGAGTACGTATCGGGACCGTTGACATTGTATTATGGAATGAAAAATGCAAGTTTATTACAATCTCTGCAAAAAAATACATGTGTTATTCATATAATAGCGGCAAGCCCTGTTGATAGAAAATACTTGCCAGCTTGGGAACTTCTCCTGCATCTTTTACATAAAATAAAAGACCTAAAAATTGTACTAATAGGGCCGGAATTAACCAATGAATCAGATAATATCGAAATTTGTTTTAGATGCAATACACGGTGCAGTCAAAAGTTTAGTTTCGAGTGTTATCGTATGTTGTATCACAATTATGTGGACAGTGTGAATTACAAACGGCCAAATCTAATTATAGGATTTCAAACAGATTTCAGTGATGGGAAGAGATGGTCGTCGAAATCCTTTTTAAAATTACGAGATCAAGGCTGTCCGCTTTTGTTAACCGCGAAATCGAAATTTAAATCCAATCAAAATATAAGTAAAATAGGAGATGTTCTAGGTTTATCTATAAGTCCTGTATATCACGAAGAAAATAAATTTGGTTCAGCTAGGCCGTGCAGAGATTTTGAGACCAATAGCGTATCCTATTGTAATAAGGTTTTAGCTATTATTGTATGGTTTTAGCCACTATTATATGATTTTCGCTATTATTACGAATTTATGTGACGTCTAATAAACTATTGAAAACTATCGTATCGATTGTGATATCAATTTAGTATAACTATTATAAATAATATAATATTGTGAATAATAACTTTATGTATATATAATTCCTTAAGAAATATACTGATTGTTTGTATTATTGTGAATTAAACATGTTTTTAATAAAAAATGGGTTTGATCAGAATTAGTTATTCAAGAAAATGTATTTACATTTTAAAGAATATGTTAGTTGTATGTATGAGTCTCGCCAATTACTATGAGCATTGTCACGAAATAATCAACTTAGAAATATACAGCTTAGAAATATATTTATTTTTTATTTATAAATATACAAAAATAAATAAAAAGTCAATAATAGTAGGAATATGCTCAATGTTGCCGTAAAAACAAGTAATTCAAAGTTATACATTAAGACTGAGCATGTTAAAAGACTTGTTAACACTTGGCACGTTAAAAGACACGATATTATAAGTTATAGTTATCTTATAGCATGTTCTTACAAAACATCAAAATTTAAACACTATATTAAACGTTATAATTTA